TATGAAGAAGTGGCTGAGGAAGAAAGATTAATTATATAAACAGCAAGAAAAATAAATGCTATGTGAAACTTTGCCACAACTGTTCATACTCATTCTTGCTAGCTAGTTCCAAATCTCATGTTAAAAGAAATATGTGAGGAGAAAAAGGCATAGATAATAAACAATATATTTATCAATTTATTCTCAAATACAGTCAAGAGTTGATTACTCAAGATCATATTCTCACAAGGTATGATTTGCACAAAACCTCTCCATCATCTCCCAGTCTGAAGCAGATAATTGGGGTCATGTGTCACCCAGCATTCCTTCACCTAAAGCACTATGCTATAGCAATGCCAAAGTTACATCAAAATCAGCTGCAACCATCGCTGCTGAAACAGGAGGACACTAAGATATATTTTCGGCCTTGTATTGGTCACTCTTAGTCCGTCAACCACCCACCTTTCTTATGGACCAATCCCCCCAACTGTCACCTGCCCTGAAAAAATTCTGAAAAGGGCACAGAACAAAAAGATCTGCACAGACACTGAGATGCTTTCAGATAAGATATTGCAATTGAAACAAATAGAAAATTTTTCCCTGATAGGCAAATTATACTTATCTTCCTTACTGCTGAACAAATTAAGATCAAAATATAAATAAACTCTCAATATTTTTTCTTCTGAAAGACACAGCTTTCACAGCTGAGGGTACATTTAGCAATTGTTAAAGGACCAGATTTGGTTCTTCAATACCCTCAGTTGTCATATTCCTCTAGGTTTACATCAGATTATCATAGAAATATGCAATTTGATCTGAAGATTAGAAAGTTTTAGGTAAGAGAGAAAAAAAGAGGAGAAACAACAATATTATGCTAAAAGACAGAAATGCAGGCTGAAAGAAGTTTCAGCATAAAACTGGTGCACACTTTCTATCCAGTTAATTCCCTTGATGCTGTTCAGCCTTAAGGCACAAGAGGAGGGAAGATAGGCTTTATGCTCAGGGCACGACATGGGCACTCGGAAGACCGAACTTGTTTGCACACTACTAGGCACAAATGAGGCCCCAAACTGTTGTCTTTACGTAACACAAATAATATATATCAGAATTCTGTGAGTTTTAAGTGACCTGTTCTCATTTCAGACTGAACGACTCTCCAAATAGTCATGAAGGAACAAATCGCTGGGTTTTTAAAAATATTTTCTTAGTTAAGTTCAGGGTACCTCAATAACACCCAACTCCTGATTTCAGCAATAAGTACTTGCAATAGTGACATATGACAAAGCTGTTATGTATCACTATATTAACTAACAGCAACAGGTTATTCGGTATTAATTATTGCATAGGCTATGTAACAAATAATGCTCATCTTCCCTACAGAGCAAAACTCCATAATATACAGTTCAGAAAATTAATTTTAAAACTATCTATTAGGTTGAATTGAAAAAGAACATTGCTTCTTAATTAGTACAGTTTTTTCTGGACGCATTTGGACTATGAATAGTAGTTTTCCTAAATACATTTTTGATATTACAGGACTTCTTAAAAGCTGCTAGCTGGACACACTACAACAAACAATGTAAAAACAGCACCCTGTTAAAGATGGTTAACTGATAATTTAATTTTGCAGTGGACCAATAAAGATACAACCAGGAAGACTGGTCCCTCAGGCTCACACATTCTCAGCTAAAAAAAAAAAAATCCTATATCAACATCTGCATTAGTGGCAAGTGCTTAGTGAGTCTCTAAGGAAATTTTTTAGTCTACCATTATCACAGAGGAGTTCCACATCTATGTAATAAAGAGTAACTTAAATGTATAGCTTTATTTTTCTTATATTCATTAGAGCATGTTAAATAGGTTTAAGAAATTTCTCCTTTTCTGGTGACACTGGTCGCATTCTATATTCAGAAAATACTACTGAAAAAACATATAAATGTTAAAAGATGCCAAGTTCACATCATTCTTTCCAACTTTATGCCACATTTGGCTTAATTCTGATTTTCTCTATCTAGTCCCTATTCTCATTTTGTGCTATCTATCACTCATGCTAAAATTCACATACTGAAAAAGAATTTTCTACCCTTCTAAAGATTTTAGTATTATCTGTAGCAAATGACAACCTGCAGTGCTTCAGCCAAGTAAACACTGAGAAAATATCTGTGAAAGACACTGTTAACAGCAATGGAAAATATATTCTTGAAACTAAAATATATGCTATAATCCCAAAGCGATTATCAATTGTATCTCTCCTTTTTAAGCTACAAACTGTTAACATTATACTTAATTATGGTTCAATATAAGAAAATCTAATTTACAAGAAGCTTGGCATTGATTTCAACTTTAGTTAAGTGGTTTTTACCTTCAGTCACTGCCAGATAAAAAGTTTGAATCAGAAGTCACATATAACATACTTCAGAAGGCTATTTTTCCATATAGTCCACCTCTGATTCAGGGTCCACTACACCAAGTAACAATAAAGTGGAGATGTGAAGGGATACTAAAACAGACTTGGCTCTGACTTTTCAATGAAGCACCCATTAACAATATAAACAGACAGCATGGCTCTCTGAAAATGATATAAAGATTAAGCTTGTCTCAAGCAATCACCTAAAAGACCAGTCAGCTTTAGTCCCAGCTGAACTGTACTAGAAAAACACGGAAAAACTTGAGTCACTTGAGACAAACATTTTGACAGAAAAGGTAGCTGAGTCCCTACTGGAGAATTAATTTTCTGCAGCCTCAGTTCCATGATGCAGTATTTTTGATGATGTCAGTAATTTGCTGAAGCAGTGACACAAACAAGCTTACATAGGTTAAATAATTTTGAAATTAATCATGAAACACCTCATCATCAGATGCAGTTTAACAATCAGAAGAACCGTATGTAAACAAAGTACTCATGAATAGACCTATAAAATTAGAAATCCCTTTTCACAGTGGAAATTACAACACTAGCGTCCTACCCCGCTCTCCCCAACATAGGAATTGGACTCTTTTCCTCAATGCTTCCCTAAAGTATGAGAACCTTCATCAAGTAAACAGCATTAAATATTTCCTCCTAGGGCCTGCTGCAACATAGCAGGATTGCTAAATCATGATATACAACATAAACCAAAACCATCTTAACTTTTTAGAAAACAAATCCGAGCAACAACAGCAGTCCCTTGCTTTACAATCCTGCCATAAGATATGGTACAGACCAAAAATGACTTATTTTGATCCCCCCTGGAGTGTAAGTACAGTAGCAAGCCTATGCTGCAGCTGGTCCAACACAATACGCTTTATATGCATGCAATACATTTTCATATGAAAACATTATTTTAAACAAATGAGAGAAAATTTCATATTATACATGATTGGGGGGTTACACCGGGACAGGGGGAAATTCCCTATAACCTGACCAGTAACGTGACAGAATTGATTTGAGAATCCTGCAATATATAATCAAAGCGTAAGAATTTATATCCAAAAAAAATGAAAACAGCACCCTTTAAAAGAAGCAAAAAACAGTTCATATTATTCCACATCAAATGTCTGTTGAAATACAACATAGCACGTATAACTCTTAAGTGAATGAGCAAGAGGTTGAATAAAAAAGTAAATCAAAGGAAACAACAGAAAACTGGCAAGCCTGTTACAAACTGTTTCAAAAATGTATTAACTGTAAGACCACAAACACCTTATGCTTCTCAGTAGAGTCTGAGGAATCAAGATTTTAAGTGTTTTACCACACTGAAAAGTAGCAGGTTTTTTTAAAATCACACAGAGAGAACACATAAAACGCCTAGCACTGAACACAGAAAGGAGACATTCTATAAAGACTATCTGGCAGATGAAAGCAAAGAATAAACAATTAACCAGCAGAGAACCAATTCAACCCCATCGACCAGCCAGCGGGTCGCAGGTCAGGGACAGCACAGAGAAAGGAGGAACACAAAAAACACTGAGCGCAGATACAGGGCAAAGGCAGAGCACTTCAGTAACGTTCCTTCCCGCGTATAAGTTTCACCTTGGGGTCAAGAAAAGAGCCCAGGAACAGCCCGGCGCCCTCTCCCCACGGGGCCCGCGCGCCCCCTCGGGCCCCGCGGCCCACAGCCTCACCTCATCCGCGCTCAGCTCCTCCATCGCCTTCCTCTTAATGGTGACCGGAGGGAGGGCGCTTTCCTCTGCCCCGCCAAGGGGCAGTTCCGAGGAAGCGCTCTCCTGTCGCCTCTGCCCCCCCGGGGCGCCTCACAAGGGCATCTCCAGGGCGGCCGCGCCGCGCCTCACCCACCGGCAGCCGGCCCCGCCGCCGCCACCCCCAGCCCCAGCCCCAGCCCGCTGCCTGCCGCCCGGACCCCCGCCCGCGCCTCAGCTGCCGCCGCGCCTCACCGCGGCCCAGGGGGAAGCCGCCCCCGCCGGCTGCCCCAACCCGCCCGCGTCCCTCGGCCCCCGCCCGCGCCGCGGCCCCTGCCCCGCGTCGAGATTATTCATCAAAACAAGAGGGCGGCAGCGGCCATCTTGGGGCGGGATCACGTGAGACCGCCCGGCGCCGCAGAGGGAGCCGGGCATGCCGGGCCCCGCGCGGCGCCGGCCAATGGCGGCGCCAGATCAGCGGCGCGCGGGGAGGGGGGCGGGGCCCGGCGGGTAGTCGTGGCGGCGCGGGAGGAGCGGCCCGCGCGCGCCATGGCAACGGGGGCGGTGCTGAGGGGAGATGGCCGTGAGGGGTGGGAGAGGAACGAGGGGAGATGGCCTTGATGGGGGGGAGAGGAACGAGGGGAGATGGCCGTAAGAGGAACAAGGGGAGACGGCCGTGAGGGCCGTGAGAGGAACGAGGGGAGGTGGCCGTGAGAGGAACGAGGGGAGATGGCCGTGAGGGGCGGGAGAGGAACGAGGGGAGATGGCTGCGAGGAGGGGGAGAGGAAGGAGAGAGGATGGCCGTGAGGGGAGGTGGCCGTGAGGGGGGCCCGGGGCAGTGAGGGCTGTGGAGGCGGGCAGGAAGGAGGGAGTTGCGCGGTGGCGGGAGCAACCCCAGCGTACGGGCGTCGGGATCCCAGCTGGGGTTAGGCTACTGAAGCCTCTCCCTTTTCGGAGTCCACGCCTTTAAGGTGTTAGCCCGCTTCTCGGTGAGGAATGGGAGAGATGCTACAGGCTTTTTGTCTTAATTATTGCAATCTGTGATGTATCTGGGGAAAACGAAGGTGCTCAGCCCCCACTGAGTACTGGGCCTTTTCCAAGTGTAGTTTGAGCCTGAAGTATTTTTTCCCTTTCTTGTGTCAAAACAAACTTTTCCACACCTAGTTCTTTCACTGTACCACATCATGATATTTTTGTGTAGATACTCATCTTTTCCTCCTCTTTCTTTACCCTCACCCCCAAAATGAAACTCAGCCAGAGAACAAAGCAGCCAGGGTCAGTGTTGACTTTAAGTGAATTGGATGTTCAATTCCAGCTCTGCTTGTTAGATCAGTTATAATACATGTATGTAAAAAAAAGATTTTGAGAAGCTGTTCTTTTGTAAGAGAACAAAAAGAAATTAGAGTTGCATCAGCAGATTTTTGCCCCAGGATGAACTGTCACTAATAATAAGATCTTAACAGACAGCTATGCGCAGTGCAGCGTAGTTTGACTCAGCAAGTGAAAGAATCCCATAATGTGAGGACAACGGGATGTTCTTAAGATAGAAGCAAACCTGTCTCTAAGAACAAGGGATGGAATTAAAACATATTTCCATAAGCACTGCAAGTAATTAGAAAGTACTAAAACTGATCAGTTTTTTTTTATCCATGTATAAAGCAGATATGAGGTCTTGCGTTTCAGTGTACATCTTCCTTAACATGTCGATTTAAAGGTGTTTGAACAAAATGTTTTTGATGACTTAACCAAGATGCCCAGAATGGGAGACAAATTCTTTTGCAAATAATTGGATCATAATCTTTTTGTAGAACATATGTGTATTGTTACCTTTGACTTCTAGATCATGCTTCCTGTTTCTTTATCTTTTTAGGATTAGGTTTCATTTTGTTGTTTTGTTTTGTTTCTTCCAATGGAGTTGGGGCTATAATCCAAAGCACAGGTTTTTAACATAATTTCACATGCTAGTTTGTTCTCATGCTAAACTGTTGATGTATTACATCTTAAATAGTTATTGCACATAATAGTACATAAGAAAATTATTAGGAGACTACACACAAAGTTATGTCTTAAAAGCCTGTGAGTAAAAATTACTAACCTTAGAGGTACTTGTAGTGATGTCAGGGGAAAGAGTTACATACATCCTGTTTAAAAATAGTCTGTTTAAGTCTGTCATGAAGACCAACTTTTAGAAACATTAATAGCAAACTACATTCAGTGATACAACTCTACAGTTTTATATATCACCTGTATATATTTTTTTTTTCATATCATCCTTTGATAGAGTGTTTTAGAGACTGTGAATCCTGGCTGTTCTTTTGTGTTTCCATTGTCTATTTTGATTGTAGAATACAGAAGGCAACATATTTCTGTTCAGCTATCTACAAAGTACTTTCACCTGCAACTAGCATATCTTGAAATCATAATCCACATGGTCAGCAGTTGCACTAAAAAAACCTCAGACATTGGTTCGTGACCAAGTTTCACCATTAAAGCAATAGTGTAAGATACCTGAAGGGGTTTAAAACACCTTTGAATAAAACCCTTCAAGTGCTTCTGGGGTGTTTGTTCTTGTCTTCCAGTTCTATGGTTCCAGTGTGTATTTTCTTGGCAAAGGCTAACTTAATGTCTTATTTTATTTCCACTTGCAAAACATCCCTTTCTTTGTTCCACATGCATTTCAAGATGTTTAATTTGTATTTTGTGAAAGCACCTGGATTGGTTAGCATATATATATAAAAATAAAGAAAGTGGGATAAGGAGTTTTGTCACTACAGTACCTTCTCTCATCCTCAAGATCTCCAAAGCACCCTCAGTCGATTTCTGCATAGCATTACCTGCTTTCAAATCAGCATTTTGAAGTAGGAAGGTAGCAATAAGAAAAGTAATATCACTGCTGATAACAGCTCTTCTGTATTTCTACCACTAAGGAACAGCCTTACTAATGAATTACTTCACTTGTAGTCACACGGGTTGCTCGGGCTATATTTTTCTGCTTGCCGCTTGGAGGCTTGCTTTGTGCTAACAGAGTTGCGAGGACCCCGGCTGCCGGTGCGCGGTGTCCCCCCCGGCTCCCGCCCGGTTCCGCGGTGGCCCCGCGGCCCCCCCGCTCCCGCCCGCGGGGTTTAACCCTTCCAGCGCCGCTCTCCCTGCCCGGGGCGCCCCCTGGCGGAGGGACCGCGGCGCCGCTGCCTGCCTGCGGTGTTTGTCTCGGAGTAACACGGCGGCAGTCGGCTTGTTTTCAAATAAATGAAAACTACTCATTTCCATCGTCAGGCTCCATAGAATAAAACACCAGGCATTCAACTGCTGGCCTCCCGAATTTCCCGAACTGTATAAATACTAAATTTATTTTCTTCACATGTAGGAAACTAGCTTAAATTTACATAGGCCTCTAGTAATTATATGGGGGAGGGTTCAATCTAACAAAGTGCCCTCCACACTCCAACAGATGTTGTCTGTCTCTGATGGTAGTTTTAAGAATTCTGAAGTGACAAGAAGTATCAGAAAGATGGTGCTACTTCTGTTTTAAAGTGGTAGGGATTATTTGAGATTTTTTTTTTCATAGAAAGTAAAGTTTCTAAACTTAAACCAGGTTTAATCAAACTCTGTTTCCACTGGCAGTAAGATCCCTACAACGTTAGTGTTACCAACAATACTGAGCAACTCATTCCACATGTAACTCCCAAGTTGATCTGACCACTTCCATGTGTTTACACGAGGCAGAATAAAAGCTGCTTGCCTATGCAACAGCAAGGTCAAAAATAAAAACCTTTAATTTAATTGAACAGTTGTATGCAAATAAATCTTAACTACAGAAGCAGTGTTGTCAGTCTGTATATGTGCTTATAGACTTCAATTATTTTGCAGACTGGAGTCTACAGGGATTACTCATGTTCTGGGATTTGATTGCAGGCTGATTTCCTCTGGTAAGTTGAATGTATTTTTTTTTGAGAACAAAGCAGCTGTAGCCAATATAGGACCTTACATTACACATTTAAGATACAAGCAAGCAAAGTTAACTACTAGTCTCCATCTTAAAGAGGAGCATTTTGAATAATAAATCTGTATCCTTTGTTATTTTCACTTCTCTACCATCCCTCCCCTTCTGTTTTGTTTAATGTTGGTTGGCATGCCACATTAGAATAGGCAGGCTTTCTTGTTTTGATTTAGACTGTTAGTTAACTAAAGACCCAAGCCATATCATTATGTTTTGGTTTGTTTTTCCCCCCCCCCTCCAAAAACACGTTCATAAGTCAGATGCTTAAGATCGGTTTGGTTTTGGGCATTTATTAGCAAAAATCAGATCTTTAACATTGGCAACATCAGACCATTTAGGTTAATAAGTACAAGGACTCAGTTATTGTCCACACGGCCATCACTGGACATGAGGATTCATCGTCTCCCGTATATAGCTGTCTCTCCATGTAGGAACCAGTACACATATTCAAGCTCTCTTGAAGACCTGTTTACATACTTGATTCTCACAACGAAGCTCCTACCAAAAACCACAAAAGTATATATGTATAAAGTAATCAAAAGAACTGCTTCTAAAAGTGAACATAAATCCTTTGCCATGACTACTTACCAGAATTCTGCTGCCATGCTAATAGGTTATGCTTAACATTCTGAATTTAACCATACAAGACAGTGAAACAGTGTTGTTCGAGCTAAACTAAAATCAAAGCAGCATACACTCACTACGTACCACCCATTGTAAATACGACAGACTTGTGCACACCATGACTACACTGTAGATCTTATTTTTGTCATATAGGGACAGAATTGGTAGAAATCTGAAGTAAATACCAGATGGAGGTCATCTCCTTCAAGCCAGTGAGTCCAGCCTCTGTTCTTCTTCTCACCAGTCTGCACACAGACAAGTTTATCATTTTCCCAAGTAACTACACTCTGTGGAAGATAAAAAAGAAAGTGTTTCTCTGTATCTTTGTCTCAGTTCTGCAACATAGTCTTTAAAATTGTCCTTTTCTGCTGGATAAAAGGGGACCTAAATACTACTCCAGAGGGAAAATTAAACTCATTTTCTGTATGTAAGGCTCCTACCTCTGCGTTGCATTACAAATAGTATTTTTGAAATAATTTCAGCTCAAGTAGCTGGATTCATTGTGGCATCTTAATTTTGCCACAGCCTCTTGATTTTATATATTCAGTCTTACCTTGCATTTTCTGTTATCCAGGCCTTTATTATCTTCTTCAAACTCTTCTCCAATTTTGAATTGAAGCAAATAATCTCTGAATGTGCTAGTGGTATGGATATAAAATGAATCACCATCTTGTTTGATGACTTTCTGAGGCTTCAGCATTTTTGCTATCTTGCGTGTTGCAAAGTCAATACCTGGGGCAGGAGGCAAAAAGGTCACCGTTGTATTTATCACCAGCCATTTTGACAACCAGGAGTTAACCTTTATTACTACTAGAAGCATTTCTTAGATAGTTTGACCTTGCTGCTGTGCAAGGTTTTGTTGGTGGGTTTGGGTTTTTTTTGTTTAAGGCTATATGTTCAACTCATGTTCTTGTACATTTCACTTTTTGGAAAATAGTTTACTCCATTTTTGCACAATTCCTATGCAAGATTTCTAGGACTTTGAGTCAGAACAGTCCTTTTAGGAGTCGGATAGAGTTGATTTCCCCCACACAGACACCCCAAGCTTGGTCTCAGACTTACTTACCCCCTGCTTAGCTAGAGGGAGTAGTCACTGCCTATTCTCATCCTTTGTCAGAGGAAAGGCATTACGTGAATTAACAAGAAATCTTTGCACCCTATACCTTAAATAGGGTAAAATGATGGCCAGTCCTAAAATGAATTACTTAGGCTTGTTTTCAGGACATGCCACTTGCTATTAACACCTTTTAAGTGCAACTAGAAAACATCACACTTGTCAAAAGATTTCCTGGAATCCTGATGTTCTTGGTAATACTGAGCTTAAAAGCAATGCTTCTAGAGTTTTTTATATTTCTCTGGTGAACATATGTTTCTTTAGAGGAACAGGCCATCTATTTGTTAGGCAACTGAATTACACTGCATCCCAACACCATGCTCAGAGTTAGGTTTTCAATAAGGAGGATGGGCAAAATGTGGGGCTATGTATTAATTATTTTAGTTGTTTTTTATCACCTAGATTAAGCCCATCATTTTCTAGAACCACTAGAAGTTTCTCACTTCATGCAGGCTGGAGTTGTGCTCTTCTTGACAGGGTGTGTTCAGCTACCCTGTGTTAAACCATATGGCTCATTATGCAGTCTCTGGTTGAAGTGGAACTTCATTACTGTACGCATTACAGAAGTGCCAGAATCTGTCAGTCATGTTTTCACATGGTTACCAGTTTATTTTAGCATAGAGGGCTTGGAATTCAGCACTGGCAACAGCTATACTCATTGAGCCTTAACATGATTATAAGAATGTATAAATACAAACTACTTATTCTTTCTATTCTTTAGAGGAAGATATTAAATTGAAGGAAGGGCTAGGTTTGGAACAGCCATGTCCTTATCCATATCCCTCTAGTTGCTCAGCTAATGATATACTAGCCTCCTCACTTGACTTACCCTGGCAGAAAAGTTTCTCATTCTAGCTCTACAGTATTGATTTCAGTCCTTGTTTTGTTCAGTATACTGTCAACCAAGTAGGAATAATTGAAGATAGGTTGTAAATCATCAACAGGATGCTTTGCCTTTACTTTTAAGTAAGTTCCCCCAAATATTTGCTGAAAACAAAATGCATTTTTCACAAGATTGGTAGTTATATTTATTTTTAAAAAGCTCTTTACTTAGCAGGACAATGTTTATTATCAAGGAACAGACAGAATCTCTGTTCCATTTGAAGATGTTAACACATTAAAAGTGTATTACTTTGTATTCAAACTGAGGAATAAATTCTCATTATGGGAGCACCCTTTATTTTTTTTTTTCTAATTGATAATGTAGCAGGATTATCATATTAGAATAGTTCTTTCACTATGTTAAAGATCAGCTATACAATTTAAGTAGGTCACCCAGCATAGATACAGGCAGGAAATTGATTTCTTCTAGTTGTCTATACAATAACCAACAAGGGACGGTGCTGGACATGAGTTTGCACAAAGCAAAAAGGCAGAAAGGGGTGGGAGAGGCAGGGAGAAGAGAAGGCAAGCACACAAGGTTGCCTGCTGTCACAGTCTGCAATGAGCTTTGTACAAGAAAGCTAATAAAATAGCAAGAACTGTCTTTAGTTCCCCATTAAAGCACTCTTAATCTCTGTCTATAAAAGATCTGAGCAAGGTAAGAGGTTAGCTTCAAGCACTCCAGAAAAGGGAGAGTTAGAGAAACTTATCAACAAGTCACAGTAATAAGAGAAGTATTTTGTGAGCTGTTTAAAGATAAATGACAGTAAGCTAAACAACTGCCTGGAAGTGGCACGTAGCCAAGTACTTTTTTTTGTTACTTAACATTTAATTAACCCTAGTCATAGGTCCTGTAGGTTTGTGCTCAGAAGTAAGAGAAATTGAGTGGATAGGGCAACGCTTTCCTTGTCTGTGATGAAAGCTATAAAAAAAAATTATACTTTCAACAAGTATTAGGCTGAGAAATTCCTGAAAGCTGCAGTGACACTGGGGTGACAGGCTGAAGTATAGTTAATGCTGTCTGTTTATCAGTAAACAAAGATACTTCTATTGTTCTTCAGAGGAAAAAAAAAAACTTCAGCAATATCTAGGTGTTAGAAGAACTCAGACTCTTAAAATTCGGGAGGATCTTTATAGGGGGAGAGAGAAAGGATAGTCGGGTATTTTTACCTACCTAAGGCCACCATATAACCTTCAAAGTTGTCATTGCTGATAAGGTTCCAGGTTCCACTGAAATCCACAGGCATTGCCAGACTGTGGAAAGAAAATACAGTCAACCTCTGACCGAAAAGCAAAAATGAAGTAGTTTTCCAACCAGACCTTATATAAGGGAGACCGTGGGTGGGATTACATCCCAGAGCCTTTCTGATGGAGGGGAAGGGTGCTATTGTTGAGCCAATGGGTGAGAGGGTATTTGTAGATCAGCTTCAACTGTGTTGGAGGGAAAAGTTCACAGTTTCTGAAATCTTTGTGTGGAGCAAATGTTAATAGCTCAAGAGTCACAATGCAAACCAAAAACTGCTTTAAACTATTTGTGTCCACCTTGTGCACTTTAAAAGGACTCATGGACAGATTTTATTATTACTAAACTTCCCTGCATGCATATTAGATGTGTGGCTTTGTGATCTGAAATCTACACATTTTTTGAAAAGGTGATCTCCTCGCTGTAAATACACACTGTATTTGAACAGACAGGGATTAAACCATGGATGGTATTGTATCAGCAAATTGTAAAGCGGTACCTATGACACAGTAATAGAGATAAGTATTATATCTTGTTGGTTTATGTCTGCAGTTAATAGCAGGCAGCATCATTGTCTAGTGGTTATAACAGAAAAGTGAAAGACAAATCTTGGTTGTAGATGTTATTCTCTGATGTGACTCTCAACACAATTCTACAGTGCCACAGTTTACACCTATCTGTGTTCTGTTTTCTTTAATGCTGTTGGTTATATCTTAGTTAAATGAACATACATATACAAAATTCTTTCTTTCCTCAGATGCCTGACCAGCCAGAAAGTTTGTATAACGGTTAGGCAGGAGACAGCAGATCCAGAGGCCTGATCTCTGTTCCCCATTCTGCAGCTCTGTATTTATCAGTTTTCCTAGATGTGAAAGAGGACAAATACCTATTCTTGCAATTCACTTCCAACTCCTAAAAATTGCCACTAACAATACCAAAATAAAGAAGTACTCACGTGTATATAGAAGATGTAGCTCTCCCTTTGCTTCTTATTCTTGACGCATACAGTAAAGAGAAGATGATACAGAAGTTATTCCCACTGATGCTTTTTTAGATTCTATATGTTGACAGAGCACATAGGGAATAGAGCACAGCATGCAGGAGGTAATCTTCAGTGTTGGACTTTATCTTCAGCAAAGAAGTGAAAGAAATCTCTTAAGTGATGACCCAGCAATGTGTTTTGGAAAGTGAATAAAGAATGCTTGATGTCAAAAGGATATATGAGGAATTCTGAAGTGAAATTTTATTTCCTTTAGAAGATACATAACTCTCCAATCTCTTGCAGGTTTTCCATCTGTTGTTACTTTTTGCAAACTGTACACCTTGTTACAATTTACCAAGTGAGAAATATGAATTTAATAATCCTGAGCAAGGAGGCAGTCTAGAATTGCTAAGTACAGGAGAGCTAGATAACTTCGTACCTCAGTTGCCTCATTGGTAAAACAGGGAAAACAATCATTCCCAAAGTCACATGCATGTTTGGAGTATTAACTTAATCCCACATTTTAAATGGTCAGATGGGACAGTAATGAGCACCACAATGAAGGCTACATTAAAAGAAAAACCCAAAACTGATGAGCAAGAGAAATCTGAACTATGTTGCTACCATATTGAAAAGGGAATTTGGTATTCTGAATTTTGAATGAGGAAACTCACCTGTAATTACTACATTTATCTATTTACTGACTCAGATAAGATGAATAAACAGATAGTATTTGCAGAGAAAAATTAAGTTTCCCTGAACTTTAGCTACATTTTTAGAGCTGACAGTTTGACCTATATGACTCACAACATCATATGAGTAGGAAATGAGGACATGTTTCCTGTTTGCAGATGGATATTGTTCTCTAACCTATACTAAATTAGGAATGGTCCAGAGAAATGCAGATTAATGTTTCCCCTAGACTCAAATAGTAACATTTCACCCATAATTTGTTATTACAAGGTTATGGTAGTATAGCACTGTTGCAATACTACTGACTCTTCCAAGTAAAGAGAAGTCAGTACTTGGATTAGGTCCTATGTAAAAGGCTGGATATAACATTTTAATTTAAAATTAAAATTCTGCAGATTGTCTAGGATGTGGTGCTTCTTCCTGTAAATCAGTACTTACTGTCAAACTAAGCCTTATAAAGGGTACTGGGGTTACTATTTCAAGGCTCAGCCAAAGAATTGCCTATGGAAGTTTTTGTAAGAGCTGCCCAGTGCCCTGGCCACATCCTATGATGGTTAATTTTTTTCTCCCTGAAAATTTCTGGTTTTGTGGAAGATTTTTTTTCAATTTCCATCTTAACTGCTGTGAAGCATTGAGCATCTAATACATTCCATTAAAGATGTGGCCTCATTACAGGAGATAAAAGTGGTTCCTGCTGCTGTTGCTGTATTTATAAAGTATTTTGAGTCTGAATTACACATGTGGTGTAAGGGTCCTATGTTCTCTTAATACAGCAGAATGAAATGCAGCGCCGTAAAAAAAAAAAAAAACAGCCTTATTTTTGTTTGTAGAATACCTGTGAATCCATTATATTTCTTTTATAAAGACGTTCAGGAAACTACATTATTCACAAACCTTACATTTTCAAGTATATAGATTCTCTTTTAGATCTAGTCCACTCTTGAAAGTTATACCTGTCTAACAGTTTTGAATATGCCACATCACTGGCTCTGAAGCTGATATTTACAACTGATTGGAACAGTAGATCATCAGTGTGCAGTTACTTCTAGTGTTGTGACAGGCAGGTTTCTGGATCCCACTAGTAAAACAAGAGATCCATATTCAGCAGTCAGTGTAATTTTTGAACAGTGTTCTAGTTTGTATAGACAAAATTGTACTGGTATCATGCTACCTATTTAAAAATCATGCAGTCATCAGACACCAGATTTGCTTAATTACAGGATTAGCATATTACATGTAACTTAGTTTATTGAAAGCTTCATCATATATAACTACATTAAAACCCAATGAAATATAACCAAAGCTTTTTAAAACATCCTATTGAATATGCAGTTTTCTAGAATTACACAAAGTGCACCAACACACACTAGCATCGTTATTTGGAATAAACCTAAAGTGCAGTTTTACTCTGAAAAGTGACCACACAAACAGAGTGCTTTCCATTAGAAAGATCTGCTCTGTTTATTCAGAAGCACACTGGTTGAGTGCTGACAATAAATCTTTCTTGTCGTCTATTCTTGTCAGTCGTAAAGACAGACAACGAGCAAAAGAGAAAAGTAGATTTTGTCCTTTCCTACACATCATTAATAATATAGTTATCTTCAATCAGTTACGGCAGTTTGATTGCTAGGGTGTCACGGGGGGCATAATTTATCTTTCGGTACCTTTATTACTATTGATAATAAATGAACGCTGCCTCATTATCAAAGCACAGTGTAAGCTTGCCTGAGCTCCAGGGGGAAAAATGTCAGACTAAGCATATTTGATGCAGGATTCACCAAGTAAAAAAAAAAAAAAAAAAAAGAATCCTCGATGCTACTCTCTGTCACAGTGCAGTTACAGATGCCCTTCTAAGTTGTGGCTTGATTTTATTACACATCTCTCCTTGTAGATTCTCTGCAGACAGCCACCTTTACAGGCTGGAACTAGTAGAACACAGATGTTCTAGTGTATGGGAATTGCAGAATTTCAGGTAGGGCTCCAAGTTTGCATACCCCATGCTAGCTCTGCTGTGGGTTACAGGTGTTCCCAATAGTGTCCCAACTGCCTTGGGGGTTTTATATAAGCTTTGCAGGCCCTATGGCCACCCGTGACGTTCTGTGTTTGCCTTCTGGCTTCCAGACTCCCCCTTAGCTCCAAGGGAAGCCTACACTTCTGCCTCAGCTCTTTGGGGATCCCCTGCCCAGGGAAGGAGGATGATGGGTTGTCCCAGTTATGATCCTGGAACATGTCCCTGGTTCCAGACTTGCCCAACACCATCTAGGCTTCCTGCCCCGAGAGTCTCATGTTCTGCTGGATTAGTTGATCTGAAAAATGTGAACAGAGTAATTTTGTGGAGATTATATGAAAAAGCTGTTGACCCATTAGGTAGCGTCCTGGAAACCTTGACACTTTTAATAAGGCACATAATCCAAACAAAAATGGGATGATGGCAAATAAAGGGAGGTAGAATTCTATCACCGTGACATTCACAGTGCCTCTCAAGTTTATATTCACATAATACAGACAATATATTGTTAGATTCAAAACCAGATTTCTAGCAAAGAAAAACATTTCACTTATCTATAGTCTTAACATAGTACCATTTCTTCTCAACTCCAGTTACCGAAAACAATTCTTGCTGTATGCATTTGGCTCAAAAGGTCATTTATTATTGGAAATAAAGGGACAACTGTCTGAGAATCAGTGCAATGACACTATTATTAATTTCTATCTATTAAATCAATGACTATAGACCAGTTTCTGAAGTAGGTCTGTCCTTCCATGAGAAACAGTGCTGAGCTTAATGTACAGCTCTGGAAACATGAATGGAAAAGCAAAGCACAAAGCATTTCTTGGAGCAAACTGCATGATGGCAGACAAACTGGCTGCATATGTGAAAGGCAGGCAGCAAGAAGCATGGTATATCTAGCACTACTTCAGCCAGGAGTAAATTTTTCCCTTCCAGGATAGAGCTAAATAATTTCTTTGAGGTGCACCACATGTTGGCAATTTTTTAAAAAATTAATTCTATAGATTTACTGTCAGTAAATGGTACCTTTTGAAAGTAAATGGGTTTGTGTTAGCATATTACAAATTGCAATCAGAGCAGTCTGAGTTAAAACTAATCAGAAGATTTTCATTTGTTTTGCTTGCTAATTTGTATTCTCATATGCATGCATGAATTCTTATACTTAGTTCACTGCACTGTGACAAAATATTTAAATGTGAAAATCTTATTATTGGATTTAAAAAAGATTGTTTAGGTCCAATTCTTGAGTGCACCAAACCTCAAAAGCAAGTACGTATGCACCAAAGCCACAGAATTAGCTCACTATTTACTTGAAAAAGCAAAAAAAAAGAACGACCCCTAAACCCCACATTTTCCTGTACTTAACTGTAGCTTTTTCCACAGCAGAAAGTAAGTTAGTTGTATGGTGCCTGTTAGTTCTTGGAATCACTTGCATGTTTCTGTAAGGGAGCCAAGACAACCCCAGCATTCCTGTCTTCACTCTCTGGACTATACAGATTATTTTTTTCTATGTATTCTTGAACTACATCAGGCACAAGGTAACGAATGCTTTGGCCCCTCCTCAGTGCTCTCCTAATCTTGGTGGAGGAAATGTCATTTGTGATCCATTCTTCCACAAGGTGAATGTTATTCTTATGCCTCCACAAAATATCAGATTCGTAGATGAATTTCTGAACACTGTTTCCAGCCCTACTGATGCACACGAGGCCATGATTTTCCACAATTTCAGTGATGTCCTCCAACTTCCACAGATTTGGGATCCCAAAAGATTCAAGCATGTCGCTTCCACAAAGCAGTTTAACCTGTGGGACACCTTTAAAAGAAAAGTAAGTGAGAAACAGGGCTTAGGCCACCAGATTTTTGCTAACTTGAAGGGGACATTTAATTTCTAGGCTACCTCTCTGTATCTTTGGTTAAGATGATACAATGACATGAAAATGAAAAAGATTCAGAGTATGTAATTTATAATTAGTAGCCTCAATACAGGATTTTTCTGAAAAAAGTTTATGGGAGTCCCTTTATTCAAAAGAACTTGAAAATAAATTCTATTATGCTCATTTAGCCTTGGGGTGAATCAACTACTGTGAGGATAAAAGTAAAAGAAAATATAGAGAAAATTCCAGAATAACTAAGTATGAAAGAATACTGTAATGCTGTTAAAACTTCATCTGGCATTCCACAGAGTTACAGAAGAGGAGCTAGCTTTTACAGGACAGAATGAATTATGTAGGAGAGAAAACAACCCAGAAAAATCCCCCATAGACTGTGTGACCTGACTTCAGGGGACTCTCTTCCATACTAAGTTGTCTAAGGAATCTAGAGAACCATGCACATAGAAACCGCCTTATACTAATGGAAGCAAAACTGGGAGTGCTACAGATTTGCAGCTTCCAGTAATGTCACAGGGTGGTAGGAATGTAGTAAAACATCTGTCAACACAATATGAAAAAAGAATGCCTGATGATATTGGGTCCTTTCTTTGAATACATTTCCTTTAAAACATTATCAATTAAACAATAGAGTTTGGAAAGGTTCAAAGGAAGAAGTTGGGCAGAAGTCAAGATTTTCTAATAGAAAGGATTGAGGTGGTCACTATGGAAGGCTGTTCAAAATCTAGATGAATATATATAATTGTACATGATAAGCTAAAGAACTAAGATTAAAATCTAAAAGCAATAAGCAAAATAATTGCTACGTAAAATTACAAAGCCAAGCTACGTCTGTTGTATGAAGTTTTAAATTGCAATTTAAAATGTTCCTGTACCCAGCAACATTTTGAATTTCAGGACTTAATCCTGTCCTTTCCTTCTCCAGCAATTTACAATATGATCCAAAACTCTCAGCTGTAACTACCATTTACCACAGTTTTGTAGGTAAAATGGATAGCTTAGACCTTTTTCAGTTCAATTTTCTATTATCTTGAGCATTTTTAATGTCCTATATATTTTACCCTTACAGTCATATTGTTACGAAGCCTACTGCTTTATGCTGTGCAATCTAAGGGAGTAAACTTATTCAGTGCAATCAGAACCAAGAATTAGCATAAAAAAAAAGTTACTCATCATCACAATTCCCTTGAAGTAGCAAGTATGGTTAAGCATTTAATTTGCAAACAGACTTAACTTTTTATATCTGGACTCTGATTTTTCTTTTTAACAGGGTCATGCCTATTTGGTTCCTGTTTCCTCTTCCGTCCCGGTTTAGTTAAAGGTATAGCATTCTGCAGACTATTACTGGGATCAGGAGATAAAAGCTTCTGATGATGGTACCTGCAAAACAGGTGTATTTTAGGTATTTTAAAGATGCTGGAGAATATAGGGAAGAGTATGGCCTACTAAATAATGTATTACCACTTCCTCCTGCAGCACTTTCATACACAATGCATCCAAGAACTGATCTGCTGGAACAGGGACTTGTGAGAGCTGTCACAGAATGACACAGAATGGTGAAAGTGCAAAGATTTCAAAGCAATGACTACCAGGTTGGTTTGTTTCTTTTTTAATAAAAATTCTTTTTAGAAAGAAGAACCTCAGTGAAGTAGCAGTGACTGAAAGAGTAAAAAACATAAAACTTAAAAAAAAAGATATTCCTTCAGACAGTTCTTATGCCAGTCTTTAAACACACAAATAGGCAGCATAGCACAATCAGAATCAAATGAGGGAAGCTCATGTAGCACGTGTCTATTCTAGTCTCTCGTCTTTCCTCATTAACACCTTCTCAGCACAAAAACTGATTAAAAGCCAAGAAACAATATATCTTAAAAATTGTTCACAGGCTCATTTTTTTGTACGTTTAGGACTAATGGTGCAATCCTTCATTTACAATGATCATATAAACAGAACTTCTGAATTCACTGAGTCTATTCATATGATTTGGGGTTAGCCTGCTATTATTCTAACGTGTTAGAGCTAACACCATTCCTTATCTTTCTACAGGTTCTTTAGACTCTAGGGTTTGGCTGAAGAATACCTTAAAACTTTTAGTGTTTCCAACCACTCACTCTGGCTGCTTTCCCAATCATCAACTTCCACCCAATCTGAGTTTTTTGTAGCTAGTTTTGCCATAGTTACTCGGTGATTCGCACTGATCAGACCTTTCTTCTTATATGCATCACCTACTGGTGAAATTATTCCTTTGATTACTCTGTAGTTTCCTGTGGAAAAAACACATCACACAAGAACATGAAAAGTGGTTGAGCAGATGTTACTTCCACTGCACTGTATTTAAACTATTATATAACCATTACTCACTGCAATCTCTAACAACACCAATGCCAGCTCTGATAGTCTGCCCAGTGGAAAAGTACTGCACACATCTGCCATTGGGCAAGGCAGCACAATTAAAAGATCTAGTACAGTATATTCGAAAGATATATGTCTATAAAGAAAAACTATAAAACTCATGCTTTAGCTCATTAAAAGTAGTAATAAGCAACACATATAGAAGACTCTTCTCTCATGTATTTGGCCTACGTGATTTTCTACAATATATATTCGCATACTAGTGTCAGTATGTAATTAGCATTTCCAAAAATAGCTGTCACTGTCAAACGGGCATTCTTATACACAAAATATTCACCATAACATTGTACGTGTCTAGTTATCAGATCTGTTCTGAATGATATAAATTACCATCCTACCTGTTTCATGAAAGTAGTCTCTAGCCAGCTCAAACATTCTTAGATGCATGTTGGTGATGGGATTGAAGGACCCGCAGGCCAGCAGTACAACTTCAGTTTTCTTGTCCTGATCATCCATGGCTGAATGTTGGTGCTAGTTATGAGCCACTACAAGAAGAGACGAGATTAAAAAATAGTTATTCTTATTTGTGCTGCCAATATGCAGAAGATTTCGAGATCAAATTGAACACTGTATTTTCCTTCCATCAACACTTGGCCCGTGACTGTTCATGTGATACTGCTTTATCCAGTTTTAAAGAGATTAAAACCACCACCTCTGGTTCCTTCTGGTTATCCCTGGACAGAGGTACAATGCAAGGAGCTGAGACAACAGGGGTTGTTGCAGAAAGGAGAATAATTCTTCTGTGAGGCTTCAGAAATCAAGCATGTAGAGAAAAGTGAGTGTGCTAGAGGGAAGACATGTAATAGACAAGTGAACCCAAATTTGCCTTGCCCATGTATTATCAAAGCAGCTGCAATTCCCTCCTATATGCAAGAGGAAACATCTTTAAAAATGAAACCACTGAAAACAGGCTGCTTGCCTAAAGAGAGGACACTGTGCTGCCCACTCTGAAGAAAAGCTGTTCATGCAAAAAAACTTCATGAGGAGAGATTATTTGTCATGATCACAGATAAACTTTATTAGAACTTTGCAGTTTTTTTAAGATGCCAATCAACTGCCAAGAGACACATCTGCAGGGATAAGTAACTTCCTTACATATAGTGCTTACAGGGGGGAATAGAACATCCTTTGACAGTTCCCAGTGCTGCTACTCTAAATGGCGGCAAGTCTTTGCAGCAAAATCTATAAAACTAACAGTATTAAATGCTGGATGAGAGGAGGGTTAATGTTTCTTTGTTCAGGATTTCTTTACATTTTACATGCTCTTGGTATGTGGGAAGAGAGTGCTATGGACTAAACATAAAAACAACCAATTGACTTTGTGTTGCAGAGAGTAAGTGGTAGGTGTACCAGTGATGATAGAATAGTGAATTAATAAAAAGTTTGGTAAAAGCTGCAATTAAATATTTTTTTTTCCTTTTTTAAAATACCAAACCACTGCTCCATTTTTAAACTTCAGTTTCAGAAAGCTGCTTAAGATTTGGTGAAAATAAGGAAATTTCACTACTTATCTTTTTCATTTCTCCTCACACTACATGGATTTCTTGGTCCTCAGTGTTTTTTTCCTTTCCTGAGAATATTCTGGCTTGCCAAAATGGTTTCCCTTAGTTTGGCCCTGAACAAATGAAAACTGGAATATGTTACGGGCCATTTTCCTGCTGTTGCTGTTTGTGAGATGTCAGAGGCATCTGTGTTAAACACTGAATAATCTGCCATTGTTTTTACAGCAACATCACTGCCTGGAAAAATCCCACAAGGTCACCCTCCCATTCAGTCTCCTTTTGCAGCCGTCACAGTGGTGAGATACCAACACAGCTAAATCTTGTAACAGCTAGTATGTACTAACATCAAATAGCCTTGAATAAAAGCCTTGTAAGGCTTCACATTTTGCAAGTGTTAGTACTTTTCTGTGCTTTCAAGAGTTTCACAAACTTTAAAAATATCCTTTATTACTGAGGAGTACTTCAGCGTTTGAAGGGTTTGGTGTTACTTGGAATGCAGTCTTCACAGGGGCATCAGCTAGAAGAGTTACTATGGGAACAGGCAAGGAAAGGAGTTAGACTTGCCTTTGTAATGCATAAAGCCCTACTTTCCAAAGAAAGTGACTCATGCTGCAAATTTGAAAAGGGTTGATTTTCTCCCTAAAAAAAAAAAAAAAGGTAAAAATAATAGAAAATTTTATGATGAAAATATATAGTGCCTTTTCTGGAGTTAGTCAAATGTCCTTTTTCATGTTGCTAGCTAATTTTACAATCTTAAGAAATAGGCAATTATTGCACCATGAACTCACCTTGTAGTGCTTAATATCTGCATAGAAATTGAGAATATAAGTATGATTTAATACTATGCATATACCCTCAGCATCCTAATTTTCATTGACATCCTCTGCCTAGCACTGTTTTCATAGAAAACAGTTGCATGGTTGATTTCGAGAGTGAAGGAAATGACAAAGACATACCATCCCATAATTACCTTCACTGTTCTGTCATCCTTATAACCAACAAAGCACAGTGTCTAAGATGGGATTTGCTTTGTATGAAATGACCTTCATATAGCCTTAACTTTTTGAGGAAAGCTGTGCAATTTGCACATCCCAGGAAAGAAGGCAGCAGCTGGGTTCCAAAGATGATTAAATCCCAGGCTCTGCCTGAGCTATATATGGAACTATGCCTATTCTTATTGTATAATAAGATAAATAGTTTTGATGAATTACATATAATTTGGCACTGCTTGACACAATTCTAATTATTGCAGTTTGACCATGAGATGCAAACTAGCAGCCCAGCTCCTGCTACACAGAGGTGAGAGATCTGTATGCAGATGATTAGGGTCACAAAACTGAGACTAGTCTAAAAATAATGAATGCTATCGTACGCCAAATAGTAAATGAAATATTAATAAAACCTCTCTACATAGACTTAAGATGGGGAAACAAAGAAAAATGGCTTTCACTCAGATTTTCCGTAAGTCTAGGACGTCCTGGATCATCTTCCCTTAAGGAAAAATGAGGTGCTCTGTGATGTATTCCTTTACATATATGCTTATATATAATCTCATCATGCCTATACATAATCTTACCAATATTTAGGGTGTACTGGTAGTGTTTAGCAGGATTGGACACATATTTGCACTAAAAAACTTCGAAGTATGCCAACGGTAGTTTTCGGGGTGGTTCTGAAAACCAACCGGGTTCGCTTCTGTGGCTAAGCGGGTGAACACGGTTTGGTCAATCTCACTTATATTTCAGCGGTAAATATTTATTAAGCATGCGTATGCATCTGTGGAGTACGCACACCAGTAAATATGAAGTTTAACGGTGTGTCGGCAGCGGCTGGAAGCTCCGCATGCTGAGCGCTGCCGCCACCTTCCTCCCCACAGCTCCACGCCGCCGGAGACCCGCACACGGCACCGGAACGCGCGGGGCGCAGGATCAGGCCCCAGCCCAGCAGGTCCCCCCCGCCACCGCTCCGAGCCGGCTGTGTGTCTCTCTGTCTGTCTGTCTGTCCGCGCCGGCTGCCTGTCTGTCTGTCTGTCTGCTTGCCTGTCTATCCGCGCCGTCCGCGCTTACCGCCCGCGGCCGCACCGGCAGCTCCGCGCTGAGGGGCCGCGCCGAGGGGCCGCGCTGGGCGGGGCGGTGGCGGCGCGCTCTGATTGGCCCGGCTGCGCCGGAAGCGGCGCCTGAGGGACGCGGCTCGCCGCCCCTCGGTCCGTGCTGCGCTGCCGCCCGCCTGCCGCGGCCTGTCCCAGGTGAGGCGGCGGGGCTCGGCCGGGGAGCAGAGCCAGGGAGGGGGGCGGCGCCCGCTTTGCTGTGCGGTGCTGCATGGTTGAGCGGGAGCGGCCGCGGGCGAACTCGCCTCCGCCAGCTGCGGGCGCGAAGGAGGAAGAGCCGGGCCGGCGCCTGGCCTCGGGGATGGGCAGGCCGGATTCGGCGGGTTCCCAAGTTCCTTCTCGGTTCCCCCCCTCTTCCCGCTCGCTCCTCCTCTCTCGCCTCTCTCCGGCGGGAAGGATGGCATTTCCTTGTCTGCATTCTGGCTGCCGGAGCCGCTGGCGGCGGGGCCAGCCCTCAGAACCTGCTGGCCGGGGGCTGCTGAGGCGGGAGGGTCGCTGCCGCCGGCTAGCTGACTGCTCCTCGATACCCGACGCAACACGGATTTTCTCCAGAGTGCTCGTTTGCTACAGCTGATGATTCTAAGGTGTTTGCGAGATTCAGGCACCTGCCCCCACCTTGTTGTCCCTGAAACAGTTTACCAAGGGTGAAGAGGAGTAGAATCTGTTGTTTCATACAGCAGGGCCTCAGTATTTAAGTAATTGCTGCTTGGTTTGAAACTTGTTAGGTTTTATGTGCTGCAATTTTTTGAGTTATTACCCTGGTGAACTGCCTCTTGCTACAAAGGTAACAACCCTGTAGGCCTGGCCTAACATTTTTGTACTTTCACTGTAAGGATCTGCAAGTGTTTTGATTAGAGACTCTGTCATTAGGATATTGCGTGATTTTCTTGATACCTGAAATATTTAAGAATAAGCTTTAAGTTGTTGATACACAACAATAAAATGTTCTTTCTCTTAGGAGTGTCATGTAACAAAATTTTCATGTGAGAACAGAAAATGGCTTCACGAGGAACAACAGAGACTAGTAAACTAAAACAAAACTTGGAGGAGCAATTGGATAGATTAATGCAGCAGCTTCAAGATCTGGAGGAATGCAGGTAATAAAAATAGATGCTTTCCTTGTACATGATAGTATGTTTTTTAAGTAGTTGGCAGAAGAAAGTGGTACCTTTAAAAAAATCTTGTGGTTTTTCTCTTTTATTTTGTGTTTTGCTGTGTCTATGTTTTTGAAAGTAGGTAGGAGGTTTGTGTTATATAGTAAAAACTATTTTTAAAAAACCTTTATTTTTATTAATATCATTCTATTTATTATCTTCTTAAGGAAAATGTGGGCAGAAATACTCATTACTGTTTTCTTTGAAATTTTGTGTTTCAATGTGACTTTTTAGCTTTTAATAGCTGTTCCCAGAATTCACAATTTTTGTACGGTTTTTTTAATAGCTATAAAACAGCTTTTGTGTCTCTTTTATGTTGTAGATATAGAAGTTTGGGTTTTTCTTAGTTTGCTTAACATTTTCATGAGATTTTTGTGGGCTAATAAAAATTGAGATAGGCAGAATTACCAGAGAAAATAGTTTTTTTTTCTTTTTCAATACTGGCACTTAAACATCTTGTGTGGTTTTAGATGCTTTCTCTGACTACAATTCTAACTTGGCCCAGCAGTACATATTTTCTCTAGAGTGGGTTGGTAAGTGCTGTTCTTTGAATTGGGCAAGGTTTAGACAGCAGGATCAGTTACTCCTGAATAACTTGGTGGGTTTTGGGTAAGGAGATGGGCTTCTCAAATTATTTTATTCATTGTTGCTTTGAACAAGACAACCTTACTACATATTGTTGTTGAGATTTAAACTACACTTGTAAATATTGTACCAAGTGTTGGCTATCTTGTAGTTGTCAGGTCCTTTTTAGTACAAGGGACTTCATACAAACACCACAGTGGCTTGGAGGTGGTGCAAAACCAATAAAACTACATATGTGTTAAGTAAATAACAGCTAAGAGGGCTAGAGCAGAATAATCTGAAGTGATGTGAGTGCTTTCATTTCTATCTGAGGAAGCATGCTTCATGATATTTCCTGATGTCCTTTTCTACATGTTACATCTCAGGTTTAATCCTGTGAATTAATGTGTCTTGTTGGATCCTCTTTAGAGAGGAGCTAGATGCAGATGAGTATGAAGAGACCAAAAAAGAAACTCTAGAACAGCTGAGTGAGATCAATGACTCGCTGAAGAAGATCATGTCTGGAGATATGACTTTGGTGGATGAGCTCAGCGGGATGCAACTGGTAAGTAAGGAAGATGTGTTGCTAAAAATAGTTCGCATTCTGCCTGGACTCAGTGAAACAGTAAATAGATCTAAGTGGTTCATTATAATTTTTAGACAGGCATTTATGAAAGCTAGATCTATGTGTCTAGTGTTTTTATTATTTAATGTATGTGTACATACAAAAAATTGGTTAGGTCTCTTCATTTTAAAAGGAAAAAAATTGTTGAATTAAAACCGTAACACTTTACCAAAAACTGTGGGAAATTGCAGTGACTAGATATGAAATCCTTAATATTAGAAAATAACATAAAATAATACAAATTAATATAAAAGGTATGAGGGACATTTCAGGACAGTATGTATAATGAGAAATAAAGTTCACGCCTGTTTGTTAGAAAACAGAAAGATAGTATTTCCTGTACTTATTGCTGATACATATTTCAGATTCATACCAGTCCAAATAAAAAGTTTGTAGAAGTGACTGTGTAACTTTTAAGTTCTTTTAGTGAGTCAATCTTTATTTCATGCTGACTTCCAAACTGTAGATCTATTTTCTCTCTTTTCAAATGTTTAATTGGAGCATGATTTCTTCTTTGAACCCTGTGTTTTAGGGTTTGTTTCCAGAGATATCATGATTTGTTCAAACATAACTGTGGTGAGATCTAATCATAATAGTTTAGATAGTCCATAGAGGATTTTGAATAGTAGTAGGAGACTTACCTTATCATTTACATTCTGTTTAGCCTTAGAAGAGCTGTAATCATCAGTGTGGGCATGAAAACTGCTAAAGATAAACTTGTGATGTGCTAATATCAGGAAGATGTTGGAAGTTACTAGAAATTAAAATCTGGACTGTAGTGAAAAGTTCCACAGCTCTATCTCATTGTAATTACACTAATTAGTGGATTTTTTTAAGCCCTGTGTAAAGGTAACATAATTTTTTTTCATCTCACTTCCATGATTGTGCAAAAAAAGAAAAGCTTTCTGGATCAATTGATACAGAGGATACTCATGATGCTTTACAGTCTTCATGAATCTTGTCATGCAGCTATAGCTTGTGACTGCTATTGGTTCTGGTCGTTGTTGCTCTTTTCCTTGTAGGCAATACAAGCAGCCATCAGCCAAGCATTTAAAACTCCAGAAGTAATTAGAATGTTTGCAAAGAAACAACCAAGGCAATTGAGGACGAGGTTGGCAGAGGTGAAGATTTCTGTTTTACTATAAAAAATATTTATTTGAGCTAGACTGATTTTAAATATATAATGATTGCAAGGAGAGCACCAAGTGTATTAGCTTGGTAGCAGCATCGTATGGAGCTTGAAAAGTTCTCTCAGAATTTGTTGAGTTTTAAATGTTTATTGAAGTAGTGGGGACAACTGTATTTCTTGAATTATTTTCTATCTTGCTGCTTCAAAACAAAGATGTCATTCACAGTGAACTGACTATAACTGCAAATAAAAAATCTGAAGAGTATGAATCTGTAATTGTATTAAGGGGGCTGGAGAGTGCATTTGGTTTCAAAGATCTAGGCTGAACTTGAGGTCCAGTTGAAGTGAAATGAGTTGTGATTCCTCTATGTATCAGTGATATGTGAATCCATAATTCTGAATGAATAGCAGACTTTGATTAAAAGAGATTCAAATTTGGAGAAATCGAGAATGCTCAGGTTAGGTGCAAAGAGCATTTGCAGAAGGTTCAGAAAAACTTCATAGCCATCTTTTAAATTGTGTGAAGCTCTGTCCCTTACTTCCATGGGTACCATGCTTACTGGTGATAGTTTAGGCTGTTGCATTTCTCATGGTAGTGTGTTGAGTGAAACTAATGTGAAACTTAGATATTTTGTCTTACTTTCCCCACCTCGTTATGCAGATGGACCGAGACTTAATGGTTGGCAAGTTGGGGCGAGACCTCTACACACAGCAGAAAGTGGAAATCCTGACTGCCCTCAGAAAGCTTGGTGAGAAGGTAAGGTGTTGGTATGATAGTTAGGTGAATAGAGATTTCTGTCTGTCTATTGAAGAGGAATTTAAAAATCATTAAAATAAGAAATTATAACTTCTGTTTATGAGCAAATGTTAAAATGCAGCTTGTTTTTGTAGTACGTAAATGTCCTTTTATTTTAATGTTTAGCTTTCTGAAGCATTCACTGGTGAACATGGATCTAGTAGTACTGTACATTTATATATGGCTGTTTCTATTTTGAAGTGCTTCCTTGGTGGGTCATATGAATGAATCATTAACTGGTACAAGTTGATATTTATAAAAGCTACAGAGCAAGTCTTTTACTGGATAACTACCTCCTATCCACCTGGCAGGAGCTATCCAAGACTTTTGACATACGCTGAGCTTTACTGACTTCTGTATTGGTGGTAATACCTACCTCTTGGTGCAAGATCAATAAATTGGAGAGATGGCTGATTGTTTCCCTCGTGTACATCAGTTGCAGACCAATCCCTGTTTTTTGCCACTAGAGGGAGGAAGAGAGGTTGATAATTCTTTTTGTTGATGGTATATGAAGAAAATGTGTTGCTGTTTATCTCTGTACTTAAACTTTCTTAGGAAGTGAGGGAATGTAATGGAAAAGATTAAGTGCAGTAGTTAAAGGAGCTGCATTTCAAGCAGATGATATTAGCAAATGCTCTCCCTCAGAATATTTTTATTGCTTGATGGTCAGAGAAAAAAATGTTTTGGAAATAGGTTAAAAGGCTAGTTAAGCTTGTTAACTAAATGCATGAGGATATCTAATCCTCTTGGCAGGAGTTCCTTGGATTGCTTCAGACAAGCCACTTCACCACACCTTGACATAACCTCTTCATCTTTTAAAATGATCAGTAACTCAGTTCATAAAGGACTTGCTAGGATAGTAATTCCACATCTGTTCGGAGTGTGAAAAACGATGGTAGATGTTACATGTTTGTCTCCACAATACTACAAAATTTGAAGCAGTTACATGCTTGCTTCCAGAGCACAGCAAAGGCAAGTAACTAATACTTTTTCCTTCATTCCAACATAATTCTAATGCCTGTACTTAATATTATTAATGAATAAACCGGTGCAAACACCGTGAACAGTTTGACACACTTAAGCCTTGCTGTAATAAGGATATATATCTGAGGCTACTAAAATGAAGGAGTTTTAACGTGGAATATCTGAATCTTCCAAATGTAGGTTATTCCTTCACTGTTGTAAATATTTTATGGGCATCTGTCACAAGGCATCAGAGCACGTAGATAAAAGCAAAATGCACATATGCAAATGTCACTCTAAAGGAAGAGAACCATTTCTAGGTCATTGGCTTTTAACGTGGTCAAATCTGGTAGTGGCTGCATATTTTTGCTTTCCTCAGTAAATAATGTGAAGCGAGCTTAGATCTTAGCTAGTTATTGTATCGACCACATGACAAAAAAGTAATTGATGAGGTCCTTTACATAGTTTTGGTGCAGAAGCACAGTGTGACCTGTTCATCAAAAATTGCCACTGAAGGTCAGTTTAAAACTTAGTAGTGCATATAGAGGCATCTCTGATGTTGTATACGCTGTCCTTCCTGGGCTGACAGGCATCACTGAGAAAGATTTCAGTGGTAGGGGGAGTAGCTTGCGTTTTTCTTCGGCTTTTATTATTTTAGATAACACTGCCACTTAAAAACTGCCAATTGATAATTGCTGTAACCTGTCATAGTTCATGTATATGCCCATGTAGACGATGGGAATTACAACCGTGGGGAATATGCACAGTTAAGGTACCCAGTTGACAGTTGTGGCCTTTTTTGATTTAGCTCACTCCAGATGATGAGACGTTCTTGTCAGCAAATGCTGGTGCAGCCCTGAGCCAATTTGAGAGAGTCTCCACTGACCTTGGTAAGTTTTCATTCTCATTACTTCCAATTTCTTTGCGTCACTGAACACTGATTAATAGAAATACCTGTTATTCTCCTATGAAAGACCAAATGGGAACAAAAGATTCATGCCATTGAATTTCAATGTACCTTGTTCAGTTGTAGTAACAATGAAACTCTGATACAGTGTCCATAAGGAAAAAGTAACAGAAAATAAATCCATTGCCAAATGTCTATAAAATGCCAAGTGTTGCCCATAATGCTCAAGGATTGAATGGTCTATCTCCAGCAGAGATACTGCTCTTCAAATTAAACACAGATATTTTTTGCATTAATGACTGTCTCCAGGAGAGCCTTTTTTTCTGCTTGATGCAGAGAATGTGGCAATTATTGGCATATTGTCAAAATACAACTGTGAAGGGCTCTTCTTGCCACAGCTGTCATAAATAATCATATTGACAAGACCAGAAGTTCAGTTATAATATGCATTAAAGAAGCACAACAGTTCATTCTAGCATCACTGTTAAAACTGTGGTGAAATGGCAGGAATGTGCCAGAGTAGGTCAGGGTACAAATAAACGGTCTCCGTGACCTGTCTTACAGTATTCCTCTTCCTGAGAGTGTGAGCAAGGTGTGAACCCTTTTGTTCAAAAAGGTCCTTTGTTAGAAGCTCTCTTTGTATGTGGTGGCTTGACCTTGGCTGGCTACCAGGCACCCACCAAGCTGCTCTCTCATTCCCCCCCTCAGCAGGACAGGGGGAGAAAATAAAATTAAAAACTTGTGGGTTCAAGTAGAGGTGGTTTAATGAAGAAAAGCAAAGGCTGTGCACAGAAACAAAGGAAAACAGAAAGATTTATTCTCTACTTCCTATCAACAGGCAACGTTTAGCCGCTTGCTGAGAAGTAGGGCCTCAGTATGTGTACTGGTTCATTCGGAAGACAAATGCTGTAATAACAAATCCCTCACCACCTCCTTTCTCCTAGCTTTTATTACTGAGCGTGTTGTCATATGGTCTGGACTGTCCTGGTCGGTCTGGGTCAGCTGTCCTGGCTGTGTCCCCTCCCAGCCTCTTGTCCACCCCAATCCTACTGGCCTTTGGGGGCAAGGGCCTGGTGCTGTGTGAGTGCTGCTCAGCAGCAGCTGAGACATTGGTGTGTTATCTGTTCTAGTTACAAATACAAAGCACAGCACTAAGAGCTGCTGCTATGGGGAAAGTTAACTCCATCCCAGCCAGACCCAGTACAATATGGCTGGTTTCAGACTTGTCAAGCCAGTACATCTCCCCCTTTTTTTTTATATATTAGCTCACGTGTGCTAGTTTTCAAAATGTAGGTTTGATCTCTTTTGATCCCAAATGTTTTGCTTGATGTAAATCTTATGTAAGGAAATTCATGATTTCTACTAATACTGAAAATGTTTTTTCCTCTCATAGGATCAGGAGACAAGGTCTTTGCTTTAGCAAGTTTTGAAGTAGAAAAGGCAAAACAATGAAGAGGTGCGTGAGGCTTGTGTCTCTCCAGTTAACAGCTGCATTGGACTTCTGTTGTATTGCATTTGTTTTTTCTATTTTTAGTATGTTGAAAAAAAGAAAAGCAAAACAAAAAATCCAAACCGTAAACCTCTTGGGTTCTTAACCAGAAGATACGACGTAAACAGCCTTAAGTGCACTTTGGAACCTTGGTGTCTGTACCCCTTAGTAATATAAGCTCTGAGGCTGAACACTAAGTGGTACTCTAAAAACAAAAGCATGCTATGACTGTCTTTGGAAAGAATCAGCCATTTTGAACTTTTCTGAATGTGTATTTCTCTAACTATTAAACATAATCTTTTTGCATGTGGTTGTAGCAAGTAGATCTTTTTCAGGAGTAGTCCTAACGAGTGAATGGTTTTGGGGGTGATTCTTGACATTGCTTTCAAGTTGTCTTAATTTTTGTCCAGGCTCCCTACTAAGTAGTTTGTACTAGGAATGCACTGAAGCTTCGAAAAAATTGACATAGTTTATTAGAAATGCCATCTTTCTACAAACTGTTTGCAGAAGAACCAAAATGAGACTGTAGGCTGATCATTGGCCCTTAGCTGCTTGTTTGCTGTGCGCATGAATGAGCGCCATTGTGTCCTAGCCTTGACTGACAAACAATGGGAGCCCTGTAGGAAGGCTTCTGGAGTAATTTAACCTTGTGTGTTGAAATGACAGGGGATTGCTAGGAAATGGCAGAGAAGCCCTTTTGCTGACCTCTTCAGCTGTGGGTGTATAACTTCATGCTACCGTTATTTCCCAGTATTTTTGAGATAGCATGAAATAGCTTGCAAGTAGAAGTAAGTTTAGAAAGTAGGGGAAAAGGTCTCATTCTGGAATCAGTGCAAGTGTTGCTCAGTCTATTTAGCAGATGATGATGCTATGGAGAGGGTCTTTGCCCCCACAGAAAAGTTAGAATCCTGAATAATCTCAGAGTGTAGGAAGATGTAAAATCTCATACTGGTCAATTTTTAGCTCTGAGTGTAAAGAAGCAACTTGGGACTCTAGATGTGTGTTTAACTTCCTGATGAACTATTTTTTTTGTAAAATCAATATTAAGGATCTTGGTTTTAAAGTACTGGCTGCTTCACACTTAAATTCAGTACTTGCAAGGATTTTGTCTGAGCTGATTGGAAGCCTGTTTTTCACTGAAAATTTTTTCAGCTTGAGAAATGCACGTTTCAGGTCTGCTCTACCCTTGGTGTATATTCAGGCATTTCTTAATTTCATACCTGTTCCCCTCCTTATTTTACCAGTAGCTAGAGAAAAGTATACGGCTTCTATCTGTGAAAAAAAAAAAAAAGGGCAGAAAAAAAGTCAGTTCCCTCTCATTCTGTACAAGAGTTCAAACATAGACAGTTGTGGGTCCTTTGGACTATATGTTTTAACAGGGAGTTAGTACTTCCTTTCTTTGGAGCGCTTCAGAAGTGGAGGAAGCATTACAAAATCTCATTGGCGAAAGGAGTGTTTGGCTGTGGGTGTGCTGACATGCTATTTTAATCTGGCACCCCTCAGAGAAAGTGTGACTTGCCAGTCTCAGATACAGTCAGTTCACTTTCCCATGAAGTGGGGCAGAAGTGTATCAAGAGAAGATTTTTCTGCTTAAACAACAGTAATTGCCTGATTTTTGGAAGTGGTAAATTTATTTTTCCTTCAAGTAGAACAAACTACAATAACCAGATGCCACAGTGTTTTATGCTAACCCTCCAACAAATTACATCAAAAAGAGGTTAAACAGAGATCTTTGTCTGTATTAAGGTGATAGGTGTATCTTCAAGGACAAACAGATTTTGTGCTGGTTTTAGTGATTGGGTATGTTTTGGACAATATCTTAGTTAAGTTTTAGGCATGTTTCTGAACTGATACATGTAATGTGATATTTGCCATCACAGTAAGTCTGTTGCTGGAAAGAGATTTATGGTGATAATATTGGAAAGATCAGAAGAAATCCTAGGAAAAAAGCAGTCTTGTTTCCATCTTGTTAGTGCTTTGAATTACAAAAATTAAGAAATACATGTACTAAAAGAATGATACTTAATTCTTTTAGAATTAGTAATGGTTTATAAACCAACTTTTAGACCCAAATATTGGGTAGACTTGGGTCCAGTTGATGGTGGTGTGGCTGGTTTTGGCAACAGTGGAGTTAGACCTGCATTTGTCAGCAGTGAAGGTGACCCACTGTTTTGAGGAATACTGTGTTTATTGGAGTAGAACATCCGTGTTTCACTTATTGTACCTCTACCTCAGACTCTTATATCTAGATTTGAGCTTCAGTGAGAACGGCCGCTAAATTAAGTGGGTAGAGTGGAAATAGTATGAAATTGGGATAGCCTATCGCAACATTGATCTGTGTCACATAGTAATCACATAGAGACTAAGCGGGTAGCGTAGACTATAAACAGAAAATTAACATGATCAGTCGTAATTTAGATTGCAATTATAGTGCATAAATACCCTATAAATAAGCAAGTTTGTCTAATTGTAAACTAAGACTGGAGTAGACTAAACCAGAAAATGTGTTTTTTAAAATGTGTTTTGCTTTAATAGATACCCTTTTGAAATGTAGTATTTTGGAAATGAATGGATGCACAGTATAGACAGCATAATTTATATCTTTCACTGATGGAACTTTCCTCTCCTTTTTTTTTTTTTTTTTTTAAAGAAGCTTTTATTTAGATGGAGTCTTTTGTCTGTTATATCAACTATTTTCCCATCTGGGGCAGTATTTGTTCACTGACAAAGGCTGATTGCAGCTTTATAGCTGAGAGCAGCTTATTAAAAGGCGTTATTAGTCTAAAATTATTGAAAACAAAACAGTCTGTGGGGATTGTAGCTGGCTTCTTTTCTTTTCTGCTCATTACTGGTACTAAGTATCTCTTCTCCCTCCACACCCCTCAACCTGCTTGCAGTATTACTATGTAAATTAAGTCTCTCAGCACTCTCACAGATCACACGAAGTTTACAGTACAATGATAGGGCAATCTTTTTCCTTGTCGTTTGAGAGGTATGTGTTTCTAGGGGAAACTTTTTTTATCATTTTGCAAATAATTCAGGATTTTTTCAAAGTTCCTGTACTGCAGATAGTTGTAAAATTCTATTAAGTTGATCCTTGACTGAATTATCTTTTTAACCTTGTTCTGCTTCTGCTCTTGGAAAGATCTCTTGTGATTTAGATGGACAAAGATGAAATTGAGATCGGTGACCAACATTATTGCAAGCTTCAGTATGCCAGGCTGGACTTCACATCTCAAAAGCAGTGAAGGGTCAGAAAGCATAGCTCTAACCTCTGGGCTGGATATGTCCTGCATAATGCCCTGACTATAAATGTAGCTTAACAAGGAAGCTGTTACCAATAAGAAGCTATTCATATGTTGACCTTAGCAAATGGTTATTTAAGGAACCTACTTGAAGTAGTTAAATTAATTTCAGAGACATAGTAAATTAATTGGTGTGCCACACTGAATACTTCGTAAATAATCCTGGGACATGCTTCTACTAGTATCTCAAATGTTTCTGCAAGGGCTGGGAAAAAAGTCCATAATCTATTTATTATAATAATTATTGATCAAATAAAAATTATTAACAAAAGAACAACTCCTAATTGAAAGCATGGTTTTGTTTTTTAACATACAAGTTTGTGATGTTTGAGTTCCATCCCTGGTTCAGCATTAGAGGCAGATGACTTTCTTCTGTACACATCTTTGTCTCCTGGAGTAAAATACAGATTATGATACTTGGAATATCGTGTGCTATGAAGCTGCTATTGATGATACACTGCTTTGAAGATTAAAAGGGCTTTGTTTTTTGTTTATCATTTTACTTCTGAAATAAGAATTGTGAAGTATACTGGCTTTAAACACATCTGCAAAGTTGCCCAGAGTTCTTTCTGGGAATATGTAACCTCCTTTTTTTTTTAATCTTCCTTCCCTATGGGGTGAATCTAGTGATTGCACTGATCTAAAAGAAAAAGTGTTAGAAAATTGAAGCTTCAAATGCACTGTCTCGCTTTCTTCTGTCTTTGTCTCCTTGTATTATTTACCTCCTTTGATCTTGAATGGAAAAGTAGCAAGTTATCTTTGTTTTAAAGGAAAAATAGAAGATTTCTTAAGAGATCCCTTAGTTGATCATGTTACCTTGCATGTTAAAATTAAATTCATTTTGACAGAGAATTCTGTACCGATACCCTCCTGACCAGGCATTTAAGGCTGTATCATTAGTGGCTGAAATGGTAGGTAAATTAAAATATGCCCATTTGGTTTTGTTTCCAGTATGGCTGTTCCTTTCTCATATAAGGACAAATATAATTTTTACATTGTAGAGAAGTAGAAGCCAGCCTGCAGGCATCTTTTATTTTCCCTACTTGCATCATTTTAAAAATTATCTTCACTGAGTTATGGGGAAGTCTTACCTATTAGGGAAGTAAACTCTTATTTTCATTCTGTTTGCTTAGCTACCTATGAGAGAGGAATAGGAGTGCTCATATTGGAGTTTTACTTGAGAAGTCATGGAAAATGTGACATCTTGTCTTGCTGTGAGGTTGTAGGAGTTTTTAACTTTACTGTAATACGGGCTTATGCCTGTGAGGGAGAGGGGAGAATTACTGGAATTTACGTTGCCCAAGATTTCTCTCCCATAACTTCTAAACGTTCAAGCTTCCCACCTCAGTCGAGTGGGAGCTGCTGATGTTCAAAGCATCTGAAAAGGTGGCCTAAAGTATTGGACAGGATAAATAAAAATGTTTCAGAATAAGTTTTTCTTGTTTCTAAAATAAGGTCTTAAAAGAGGAAATAGAGACATAACATTAGTGGATATAACTATATGTAAGGCATTACTGTATTGTGCACTGAATTATCTAATGTAATTTAACACACTAATGATTAAATTAATAGCAGATTTCTTTTCAAAGCAAGTTCTAATCATGGACATCTCTTTTTATCTTGCTATCATAATAGTTTGATGATTGATAGCTTTTAGGATTGTGTTTTCAACATGCATCCAAAAATGCGTTGGTAATAATTGCAGATGTACTGAAAACCATCAGACAGAACTACCTGCAAATCCTGTGGACAGAAGAGTTAATGTCTGGGTGAATAGCGTTTCTGTTTATTGTCCAGTTAATATCCTTGTAAGGTGGAGATTGATACCAAGTTGTGTAATGTTGTCATGAAAGAGTGTGCAACTTTGTAAATACCAAATTTAATCTGGTAACACTTCTGGTTTTGAATAAAATACGCAGCTGAGAAGGTTTCTTACCGTACAAACCAAGTCTGGATTAACAAAAAAAAAAGATTGTCATAGCCTTTTTTACACTAAAGGGCTTTTTTGTCAATCCCTCTAAAATATCTCTGCACACCTCCTAACTGCACAGTCTGTAGAAACATTAAATATTGCAACTAAGGCAGCTGAACTATTTAATTTTCTAGTATACTCTAAACTACACAAATTGTGCTTGCCACTACTGATGAAAATTTCAACTGGTCGTTGTGACCCTACTTCATTTATTATAGTGTCCCAAGTATGCAAAGAGATGATTGGTTGAACTGCTTTTTATTGTCAGGAAACACTACTGTTTCTGCATCAGACCATGATTTTGATAGATTGGAATTGTCAGACTAACTCTGACATATAAAGGATTATATGTCCTTCCAAAAGAAAACATACTTCAAACTAAAAACTGTTACTTCATTGGGTACCATGCACATCTTGGAGGGAAACAGAATTTGCATTATTGTTGCATGGGGTTAAATCAGATGGATAATGAAGGCAAGGCTTGTGTGTACAGATGCTGCTGGAAGCCCGTAATGACAGGGAGATGCCAGCAAATACGGAGGGTCTTGGAGGGTGGAAGCAGCTGTACTGTGAAGCAATCCTAAATAAATTTCAGAGCTGATGAAGAAAGAATTGGAGATCAGAGAAGTACAGAGTGAATTGAGAGAATTTTTCTAAGTCAAGCAGGTATTCAGAGGAGGTTTCATGAAGTTTTGGCTTAATAGAATGAACAACAGCCTCATTGAACAGGAGAGAATAGAAGTTACTGACAAGAAAAAACAGTATAATCTGTTAGATGTTTATTAAATAATACCCACTCTTTATACAATACTTGTGAAAATGTTGAAAAGGCTTAACCTTTACATAATGAAACTTCCTAATATTCTCCTGCTGCTGATGAGTTGTATTCTTCCCATTTTGTGGTTGGGGCAAGCAGAGTGATGATTAGCGAAATGATAGATTTGATCAAGTGCAGTGCACTTGTATCTTCAGTTTACTTTGTGGAAATCTGTGCCTTCCCATGAGACAAGAACAATATTCTACTAAATCTGTTGTGGAACTTGGAGTTAAGACATCTCTTAAGGTATCCATCATGTTTCATGATGATGCAAGTGACTGCTATAATGGCAAGATACTGCTTGCTTGATAGCTAAACATCTCAGAAAGCTTGATGGTAACAGACTAAGGGCAGAAGGTGATTTAAGAAAAGAAGGTGTTTTAAGAAAATAAATGTAAAATTCTCCAAAGGGTAGAGAAAACCTTATAGTATCTCTGCTAAAAACCTTTCTAAATTAAAGCATGATGTTAAATTGATGCTATATAAGATTGCATTACACTGTTGTACAGTCAGCCAGCTAAATTAGAATAGGACAGCTAGACAATGCTTAGTCATAAAATTGTGTTTTGCCCATGATGTTATCAGTAAGAAAATTCACACTATTGCAAAGATGCAAATGATGGCTTAATTATATGCTCCTACTAGTATAAGATGCTTTTAGATCTTTCCCTCAGACTCATGTACTGCGCTAATTAACAGTAATCCAACTGGAGGATCCCAGAGCAGTGCTTCTGCATGTTTTTTTCAGCTTATGCTGGAGCTCTTATGTTCTTAAATAATTAATAATCATTACTGCCTGCTGTGCTGTGGGTATGTGCTAGTGATCTCAGATCCCAGCATATTTGCACCATTCCTGTTCCTGTCAGCAGCTTGGGTTTGCTCTTTGCATAGGCTTTCATGTTAAGACCTTCATTAACTGGCAGTGGGGTATGGATTTCAGTGCCACTGGGCTTTGATGTCATTAAGTAGCAAGCTGTTAAAGGAAGTGCCACCTATTTCATTACTGTGACTATTTTTATGCAATTAAGTTAAATACTGAGTAGAAAACAGATGCATTTTACTAAATAACATTTAGTATGCAAAGCATTTTTATCTTCAGGTGCTTTATATTTCCCTTGCTGACCCCAGCAGTGCACATGATAGGTGAGCAGCATTAGTGTTAAACCTAGTGGGAAACGGAAATGCGGGTTGGTGATGGAGCAGGGGTGAAGGACGTTGATATTGTCTGTCTTCTTTTATTGCTATAATTAATTAATTTATTTATCTGTGTTCACTGTGGCTTTCCTCTGCTTCAGTCTATCTGGGGGAAGGATTATTTATTGTTTTTTGAGTGCTTCAGTGACCAAGTGGATGCTCTTTCCAGTTGGAGGTTCTCAGAAGATGGCATTTTCTACACTTGCTGAATTAGCTGGAATTAAGCTATACCGAATTCCGCGGTGTTTTCAACTTTCTTAGCACAGTATTACTGAACAGCGGCCACGTAACCTGCTTGAACACTCCTGTGATTTACCGAACACGGCGCTGCCGGAGCGCTTGTGATCCCCAGCCCTGCCCCGCCGAAGGACGGCCAGAGGGAAGGCATGAGCTCACGGAGACGCTGCCCACCACGCAGTGTGAGGGTTCCCGCAGGTGAGCACACCCCTCTCGCCACCACCGATCCTGCGCGCCCCTCTGCCGCCAGCCCCCCGCGCGTCCCCTGTCCCGAGAGGGGCGGCGATACCCGGCGAGCGCCGGCGCTTTGCTGCGGGGGCCGCGCTCCCGCCTTTCCCCTCGGCGACCCCCTCAGCGTGGGGCCCCGCCCCTTCCCCGCCGCGCCCCGCCCCTCGCCGCCGCCGCCCCGCCCCTTCCTCCCGGCCGGCTCTCGGGTGCTGCCCGCGGCTCCGCCGCTGCCCTGGGCGCCGGGACGCGGCGGGTCCCTCCCCCGGCGCCGCCCAGGCACCGCCCTCCCGCCCGCCTTCCCTCCCGCCTTGGGCCGCCGCCGCGGTGAGTCACGACGGAGGAGGCGGCCGCTCCGCTCGGCTCCGCTCTGCTCCCCTCGGCTCGGCTCCGCTTGACCCGCCCGCGCCGAGCACGCCCGCCCGCCCGCGCCTCAGGACCGGCCCGGCCCCGCACGCAGGTGAGCGCGGCTGCCCCTTTGTGCGCGGCGCCCGGCCGTGAACAAAGGCGTTCGTCCGGGCCGGGGCGCCGCTCTGCCGGGCCTCCGCCGCCCCGCCGGGGCCGGCTCCCGCTCCCCCTTCCCCGGCCCGGGGCCGCGGCCTCTGACCTCCGCGGGGCCCGGCGGCGGCCGAGCGGTCGTGGGCGCTGGCAGGCCGTGGCCCGGCGGCACAGGTACGGGAGGTGCCTTTTTAATTTTCTGGCATCATCTCTTACGTCATGTGGCACCCTGTTTCACGGCGGCGGTGTCCCACCCCAGCAATGGCTGCATTTTTGTGGCAGGTGAAGTCATTCCCCCGTAAAGCTGCTTAAGGTGCGCTGGAGCAGTTGGGAGGGCAGGTGTCACGTCCACAGGTAATAAAACACAATATCTGGAAGCCGCAGCTGAGGGCAGCCCCCATTTGTTTTACAAGAAGTGTACGATGCTGCACGGCGTCCTGGCCCTCTGCGTGAAATGCCGACAACTCACATGGGAAAAAAGCTTCCCCACCGGTATTTGGTAGAGAGCTTCACTGGGAGGTAGTTTCTACCTTGGCTAACAATTGTGCTTCTAGAGCATCTGAAGCAGCACTCCATAACTTTCAATTTAGTGTCATTTTGCATTTGGTGTCACACCATAGCTCTATATCCTTATGTGAGAGGAACGGCATCATTTTCCAAATCAGAATGTATTAGTATTCCAGAAGGCAGATGAGAGTTGATACTAGTTTCTGCTTAACATCCAGATGTGCTTCATCAGGGTACATTTGACTTTCAGACTTGCCTTTGCTTTCTCCTTAAGAAGAGAATATTTTGCTCTGTTGTATATCATCTTTTATTTGACCATTCCTCATCTTGGCACACTGAACAAAATGAGCTTTGATGCTCTGCAAGATGAGAGCAAGACATTCTGCAGATGTGGTGGTTAAAAAAAACCAAAAAAACAAAAAAACAAACAAAAAAACCCCAATAAACTCCAGAAAACAACAGACATTGGGAGACAAGTTAGGTATGCTTGTTCAGTTTTCTGATCTGAGTTGGCTCCAGTATGATGATAGGCATGCCTGTTGAGTATTTTAAGAATATAATTTTTTAATATATTTACCAAAAGTTTTAAATTTAGTTTTTGTTGGCTGCTGAACTTGCGGGCTGTCAACTTCTCTTGCCCTCGGTATTTCTGGAGCTCATGTATGATGTGAAATAGGGTGCGAAGGAGAAATACTGTGTGAATGGTGAAAAGTGAGACTAAACTACTTTGGTGGGTTTATTCTGAAAGTATGGGCATTCAAGGTGTGTGGGGGGCATACAGAAAGCTCCATATTACTTTTTTTTTTTTTATGCAGGTTTATTATCTAAAAGCTACTGTTTGCCTTGGCAAACAGGTTCCTATTAAAAATGGTGGCAGGTGTATTTCAGATACGTTGGAGGTGCTTCACTTTGCCATTAGCTGAAAAAGCATCATCTCTTACTGTGTCTCTGGCATCTTGGTAGAAATTGGCAAATCGAATTGGTAAATGGATTTCCATGCTCTCTTAGTTCATGTGGTGCATCATAATAGTGTAAATCTACAAGGAAACATGTAGAATTGAACAAACACAAGAGCAAAGGCCATTTGGAAGTTAACTGGAAATTGGTTGGCTGAAGTTTTATGGCTTACCCAGAATTGCTGCAAAACAATAGTTCTCTTCTAGTTCATTTTGAGCATTGCAAGAGAAGTTATGGAAAATTAGATAGGTCATAAAAGTGCTTTCAGGATTCCTTTTGACATCCAGGTGGGAAGATGCTGAAATCTTCACCAGGAAAATCATCCAATAGCCTGATAGGAGTCATTGTAATAAATGTATGTCAGATACACCACAGTTGTCACTCGCCTGTTCACAGTTGTGTGTAGGGGCTGTGTACTGCACAAGCAGCATAATGTTGTGGGGAAAGAGGGCTGTTTGCTCATGACCAAAAACGAAGCTTCTGTCATCTTAACAAGAATTGATTAATATACATTTCCCTAGATATGTAACATAATGA